TGACTGAGACTGGAGGAACCCCAGAAAGCATGGTCCCTGAATTCTCTATCAGCCCAGAACTAAAACAATTTCCGAGGCCAACTCTTCAGACAGGTATTGGACTGGACTGTGGGACATAAAGTGATACTCGTGAGGAGTGTGCCTCTTAGCTCAAGTAGATACAAGATACAAGAGGTAGCTTCTGTCTGGAAGTGAGATGGGAAGGCAGAGAGGGTTAAGAGCTGGTTGAATGGACATGGGGAATCAGGGGTAGAAAGGAGGAGTGTGCTGTCACAGTATGGGTAGAGCAATTAGAGTCACATAACAATGTATGTATAAATTTTTGTATGGGGAAAAGAAAAAGGGTGTACAGGGGCCATACTCTCAGGGTTTCTCCAGTCTCTGTCAAACCAGTAAGTCTGGTCTTTTTTTGTGAGTTAGAATTTTGTTTCACCTTTTTCTCCAGCTCTTTCTGGGACCCTCCATTGTGATCCCTGTCAGAGCAGTTGGTGGTGGTAGCCAGGCACCATGTAGTTGTGCTGGACTCAGTCTGGTGGAGGCTGTGGTAGTTGCAGTCCAGTAATCCTTTGGACTAATCTTTCCCTTGTGTCTTTGGTTTTCTTCATTTTCCCTGGCTCCATACAGGGGTGAGATCAGTGGAGTATCTTAGATGGCTGCTCACAAGCTTTTAAGACCCCACATACTACTCACCAAAGTAGAATGTAGAACATTTTCCTTATAAATTAAGTTATGCCAATTGAGCTAGAAGTCCCCCGAGACCATGGTCCCTAGCCCCCAGCCTCAGGGATTGGTCAGGATTCTTCTAATGAATCTTTGATTAAAATGTTCAGTAATGGTAGCCGGGGACCACCCAGTTTTTTTGGTCTCATGGCAAAGGAGGCAATTGTTCATGCAGACAATTAGCCACACATTCCATAACCTCCTCCTGTTCCTGACACTCCTTCTTCCTCTGTTGTTCCAGGTGAATACAGACCAATCGCTGTGTGAACTAGCAGGCAGAACAGAAGCACTAAACATTTTGTTAGGCCAGTTAACTGGGATGGCCCATGAAACCATGAGCCTATACTTCCAAACCAAGGAACTAAACCCCATGAGGTGTTTGGTTGTTGTATATAAGCAGCCTCAGCAGCTACTCTGTTTTTTTTTTTTTTTTTTTTTGGTCATTGTTGTAAATGTATCTATCACACAGCTTCTGCCATTTCAACTTTTTACAGGTGTACAACATATTGACAGCAATTACAATAATTGGCTGTGCAACCCTACCCTTAATGAGTGTAATTTTTCCATCACCATTAACCTTCCTTTTCCCCTTCCCTCTCACCCCTGTAATTGCTAATGAACTTTGGTCTCTGTACATTTGCCTTTTCTTGTCTTTTTATGTAAGTGAGGTCATACAATATATGCCCTTTTGTGATTGGCTTATTTCTTTCACTCAGCATAATATCTTCAAGCTCCATGCATACTGTAGCAAAAATGGAGCTAGTAATTCTTAACTCATGCAGTTATTGTGAGAATTTAATAGCATAATGCATGTCTTTGGTACAAAATAAATGTCTTGGAGAGCAAGTGCTTCTCTGCTCTCTCTCCTCCTACTGTTTTGATTTAATCCTCCTTCCCTCTGCTGTCCTTCAAGTGGAAGAGTCTGGGGCTGAGAAAGATACCTTTGAGGTGGGCAGAGTCACAGTTTGCAAATCTCCAAGGGTGCACAGGTGGACTTTGATCTCTGTCTTCTCCAGGAGGGAACCAGTGCAGCAGCAAGAAGTACCCGGGTGAGACCAGACATAGAACTTTCTCACTGTAAGCAGAAAGTTACTAGGATGGCTGAGGTGGCATAGGGTGGCTGCTTCCCAGGACAAAACAGCTAAAGCCAGTGACAGTGAGAAGATGGGCCCGGAGAGTGTTGGCCAGTGCTCCCCACCTCACCCCAAGGTTCTGATCTGGGCATCATCTGGGACATTAGTTTGCTGACATGTGCCACTTCTTTCTGTGACTCTACTTTTCGAGGTCTTAGGCTAGAGTTGCAGGAAAATCGGGCCCTGCCTCTGCTTATGAACTTCCATGGCTCTTACCTGTAGAATAAAGCGTAAAGCCTGATGATTTGTGACGCCCTTCACAATCCGGGCTGCACGTCTCACTGCTCGCTACACCCCCACCGCAGCCACTCTGGATGATTCACTGTTGAACCCCATATTCTCTGTCTTTTCTGCAGGCTCGACTCCCACCCCTTCCCAGCCGAATTCTGCTCCTCTGTGCAGCTGTCCTTGCTCTTCGTCCCCTCTGGTGCGTCTCTTGGTAAAGGCTCGGCACAGATAGACTAGTAGAGCACTGAGGGACGTATCTGTCCTGCATCCTTTACTCCAAGCTCGCTCAAATCCCAGGGCTTTGCCCGATTCCTTGCACTGAGAACTCCCCATCTAAGTGTGTTTCGGATTCAACCACGCACAAGCTGAGCCCAGTGCCCCAGAAGCGGCCTACCTGGCCCTCTCGCTCTTTACAGTACTCAAGGCGCTCTCACGCCCCCTGGAGGGCGAGGCGCGACCACACAAGAACAGAGACCGGCCACACTAACGGAGACTCGTCTTTATTGCGTTTTTCTGGGGGCTGACACCCTGGCGGGCGGAGGAAGAGAGCAGGGCCAGAACAGGGCCCGAGCAAGAGCTCAGAGCGGGGACTGTCCCCCCGGCACAGCGGCCGTGGCAGCTGCGGTGGAACAACTGCGCCCGGGACAGGGGCGCGGCGCGGGCTCTGCGCCTGCGCGGCGGCCCATGGTCAGGATGCCGGCCGCGTGGTTGCCGCTGGCCTGCAGGAGGCGCTGTAGCCGGCCCTGGAGGCCTGGGGGCCCCGGCAGCCGCTTCCCCAGCGTCAGGATGCCGGCCGCGTGATTGCCCGCGCCGTGCAGTAGCTCGTAGAGTCGGCAGGAGCACGTCTTCTGGCGGCAGCAGTCGGGCAGGGGCTGCGCGGCCGCCCCAGGGGAGAGCAGCGCTGGTGGCAGCAATAGCAGCAGCAGCAGCGTTATGGCAGCCCAGGAGACCTAGGAAGGCGGGAGACAGGGCGCTGGGGACCTTCCTGCCGCGCCAGCCACCAATCCCCACGCCCACGCCCTGCCCTGCCGGCTCAGCGCCCCCTCCTGGCCCGCGCTCCTTTCAGCGTCTGGGCCCTTGCTCACGCCCGTCTTTGTGTCTAAAGGATCTGTTGAAGGAGGGCCCATACCTGGCTCCTTTACCTGCTCATCCTTCCAGGCCTAGCATAGCATCTTCTCCAGGAAGCCCTTTGAGACCCCCTGGGCAGAGTGAATCCCTCCCTCCTCTGGGTACCTTTAGTCCATTGTACCCCCGTTAGAGCCCTGTACATTCCACCTGGGAACAGGCTTGTCTGAGACTGTCTACACAGAAGTTTGTAAGCTCAGGGAAAACATAGGCCCTATTTAGTTTCCCCCCATCATGGCTTAGAAATACAGAGCAGCCTGCTCCCCACACCAGGCAAACAAGTGGAAATCAGGGACAGGCAGGACTCCAAGCTGTTGTCTTGTGGGCGCCTTCCTTGCAGTGGAAACTGAACTCTGTGCCTTTCGACCAGTTTCCTGCTCTCTCAGGAGGCACGATTTCTCTCCTGTAACCTGAGTATTAAAGAATTCCTACTACACAGAGCTGTTTGGGGGATAAAATGAGATGCCATGTGCAAACCTAGCACCTGAGTCAGGGTAAGTGTTCAATAAACATGAGCTCTTTGGAGAACGGGGTGGGACTCCACGTTAGCCAAGGCAGATTCACGGCCAAGGCTACCCAGTGCCCTGCCTCAGAGCCCAGAGAGGAAAAGGCCTGGAGCAGAGCCACCTCTGGGCTTACTCCCAGCTCCCGAGCAATCCCCTCATTGCCTCCTGGGAATGATGAGACACCCCTGGGTCCCTGGGTCTTTACCTTTGCAGAGGGAGTGCTCATGGTGTCTGGAGCTCAGGGTGGGGTTAGCTGGGAAAGGTGGTGTCTGCGGTGGTCCAAATAGCCAGGAACCTTGAAGCCGTCGACTGTGATCTGCTACCAGTGGCCTGGGGTTTATAGTGCTCTGAGATGGCGGGGGAGAGATGGGCACTTGCGTCCATTCTGGGGCCAGACAAAGGCAAGGCTAAGATTAGCCTCCCACAGGGGGGCCGTCTCCAGGCTGGGCCCAAGGAATGGCCGCTGAGGCATTCGCAATTAGGAGTTGGATCACGGGGCCCCCTGATGCCCCCCTCATCTGTCTGCTTGCTCCCTGGAGATGGGGCGGTCTCCGGGCACTAACGAGGCCACCTTGTACCCAGGAATCTGGGAGCACAAAAGCAGCCTTGGCTGGGGCGCTGGCCTGGGACAATGTGGTGGTGGGGGCAGCTGCTAATTAGGGGCAGGAGAAGAGGCAGTTGTAAGACCACTGTCCACACGTGGGAGGGCAAGGAGGGAGGAGGATGGCCAGGCAGCAGGCCACTCCCTTACTGCTCCTTGTCGCTGCCCCTGAGGTCTGCCCAAGGGCCGCCTTCTTCCATGGAAAAGGTTCCTAAGCTGCCCCCACCTCCAGTTCTTCCCTTCTGCCCCTTTCACCAACCTCCAAGATGGAAAACCTTGAAATCCCAACCTGGGCAGTGGGAGGGGAGGAAACCGAACCTGGTGTTATCTTTCCACTTCCCAGCTTTCTTCCTGGGCCAGGCTGCCTGGGAGTCCCACGCCACTGTCAGGAGAGAGTGAGCCATCTCAAGGCCCCAGTTTCTCTTATTCAGGGCACCGCTTATGGAGCAGCTGCTGTGGACCAGACCTTGCAGTGGGCGCTAGAGCGACAGTGGTGAATAAGACATGGCCCCAGCTGTCAAGGAGTTCACAAGTCCAGGTGGGGAGGCGACCTGGGCATAATATCAGTTCAGTGGAGGAAAGGACCGATATACGCAGACACGTGCAGGGAAGTTGAGCCAATCACTTATGCCTTAGGTGGGCAGATCCTCAAAAGCCTTGCATGAAAAGTAGATTTCCATCACATATTCCATCAGATAAGGTGGGGAGGATGGGAGCAGTGGTGATTCGGTGGTATAATTCTCACCCTCTGTGCAGGAGACCTGGGTTTGATTCCCAGCCAATGCAACTCGTACACAGCCACTACTTGTCGGTCTGTGGAGGCTTACGTGTTGCTGTGATGCTGAACAGGTTTCACTGGAGCTTCCACGATAAGAAAAACTAGGAAGAAAGCCTGCCCATCTATTTCCAAAAATCAGCCAATGAAAACTCTATGGATCACAACATTCCAATCCACAGTCAATCACAGGGATGGCATGCAGGACCAGACAGCATTTCTTTCAGTTGTATATGGGATTGTCATGAGTCGGGGGCTGACTCAATGGCAGCTAACAGCAGAGGATGGGGAGAAGGCATTCCACAAAAAGGGCAACTTGAGCAAAGGCAGGGAGGCATGACAGTGCTTAGCTCATGGTGGCAGGGTGTGCTCCTCATAATCGAGGGTTCCTCCCAAGGAAAGGGGAGAGAGGTGACTGGAGAGGTAGGTGAGGGCCAGAGTCAGGGGGTCCCATAGGTCCAGCTGATTCAGTCTTGATCCTGTGGGCAACGGGGAGCCATGGGAGGGTTTTACCAGGAAGAGGTCATGGGCTGGGTGAGTGGGAGCAAGGGCCTAGATGTAGGGGCATGGACTCAAGAAGCAATTCAGAGGCAGAATCCGAGGCTTGGAAACGAATCAGGAGTGGGTGCTGCCTTTAATGAGGAGGAGCTGTGGGGTCTTGGATAAGCCTCACCAACGAGGCTTAGTGTCCCCATTGGTCAAGTGGATAGTTAACCCAGATGGTTTCGGTGGTGATAATTTTATGATTTGAAGTATAGCCACCTTCCCACCGTGGATGTGATTTGTGCGCATTGGGCCAGGAAAGGGACCAGTGCTAAGCCAAGGTAGGTTAAATTGGGGAGCAGTCCCTCCACATTGAGGTAAAGCTTGGAGTGGCGGGAGGCAGGAGGTGACTGTGTGTGTGGGTTGGCCTAGGCCATGGTAGGGGTCCCTGAGAGCTCCTGAGCACACACACTTGGGCCTAATGCATCCCAGAGCAGGGAGTGGCGTGGCAGGGGGGAAGCCCTGGAGCCCGAGGGTGAAAGGGGAATGGCTGGGCTTGGGCAGGGAGAGCCCAGGTCGGGGTAGGAGCGGAGCAAATGGGACCACTACACAGTTTCCCCAAAAGCAGACCCTGAGTCAAGAATCTGGGTGCAAGAGGTTTATTTGGGAGGTAATCCCAGGAAACACAGTGAGAGAGTAGGGAAGTGAGACAGAGAAGGGAGGAAACACAGTGAGAGAGTAGGGAAGTGAGACAGGGAAGGGAGGAAACCAGTGAAGAGTGTATTAGTGAGTGGGTTACTGCCCTGGGCAACTGGGGCTCGTGTCTGCTGGGGACCCTCTAAGAGACCACATAGAATATACTTCAGAATTGTCCCATTAAGAGTCTTTATTCACCAGCTCCCTTTCCTTACTGACTGAGGGCTACTTCTGGGGGCGTCAACTGCCTAACACCTCCAGTCGGCCCAGTGCACTGGCCAAGCCCACAACTGTGGCCAGAGAACACCCTCAGGCTGAGAGACATAGGAAGCCACAGTGTGCGTGGGAACTCCCTAGTAGTGTCTACCCGGTGGGCTGAGGGGAATATGAGCAGGGTACTGCTGGCATCTGCTCCACCCCAAAGCCTATGCCTCAGAACTGCCCAACTAGGTTAGGCCTCCCTCAGGCCCAGTGGCTCTGATGGGTAACTGTCAGGTGACTCAGAGTCAGAGAGCCCAGCCAAGAGCTCCTTCCACTGCCCCATCCGGAGAGGCCCCAGAGGAAAGAGCGATGCGGCTTCTGAGGGGAGACGGGCAGTGGGTAGGCCTGGCTCAGGACACCACCCTCCTCTGCAGGAACTGGGCCAGGTGTCTGTGTCTAAGGACCCGGGGCATCTCAGGAGGGAAGGGGGAGGAGGGCGAGGCAGCGAGGGCTGCCCGGAGTGCTCTGAAGGCCCCATGTCCCACGAGGTGGACTCTGGCAGGGCCCACGCTGCCCCGGAACCGCAGAGACTTGTAATGAGGAGAGGCTTCCTGAAGACAGTGGTCAAGCTGGAAGCAGAAGGGCTGGAGTGAGGCTCTGTGTGAGAGTGTGTGTGTGTGTGTGTATGAGGGACTCATCCTTCTCTCTCCAGAGCCCCAAGGGAGGGTCTCCTCCCCTGCCCCTCACTTCCCCATCACTCCCCTGCCCCACAGCACCTTGGGGGTATACAGAGTAAAGGGGATATGCAGTCAGACCCCATCCCTCGTCTTATTTACCTTGTCTCGATTTTCCTCCGACAGGTTCCTCAGCCCCCTCAGCTCCACAAACACCTCATAGTGGGGCGCAGAGCCCTCTGAAGAATCTGTGGACAGACCCCGTATGCGTACACACTTCTTGTGAATGAGGTTGCTTCCAAGGCCAATGCCCTCTACCCTCATCTATTCTTCCCTACTCTGAGGTTCATGGGAACAAAAAGAGTTTCCTGGCGGGGAGTGGGGTAAAATAGAGAGGAACCTAGAGTCTAATTCTAAACATAAGTCAGGTCAGGAAAGAAAATAGGTGGAAACTGCAGCAGGAGGGATGGGAGTTAGACATAAGGAAGGACTTTTGTTAGGAGCAGCAAGAGAGGCTGAGTTTTATCTCCTTCCTAGAGATCTCCCAGCAGGATGGATATCTGCTGGGGGAGAGCCAATGCAAAAATGGGAGGCAGGAGCCCAGTGAAGAAGCTTACCCAGAATGCTGCTCTCTACACAGACATGGTCCAACAGCTTGGCCCCCGGCCATTGCCCCACTGCCCGGCCCAGAGCCTCAGAGAACACGTCCTCACCAATATCTTCCCCACGCACGCTCAGGGCCTGGCCCAGCCTGGGAGAAGGAAGGGGAGGCAGTGGAGCCCAGGGCATGAGGATGGCCTCTCAGACCCCTGGGGGGTTACCTACCTGCAGACAAATCTGACAACTGGACACTGGTTGTAGGCACCAACCACCTGGACCACATCGCCCAGCTGGCACCTGATAGGATGGGAATGAGGGTGAGGTCAGGCCCAAGGGCCCGTTAATTCATGCCCCAGACCCCTCAAAGGGTCCCGGAGGCCTGGGGTGTGCAGGTAGTCACCTGGTAAGCCTGGTATGGTCAGTCAGCACCAGCTCATACTCCATGTCCTTCTGGGCCTCGGCCAACAGGAGGGTGGAAGCAGCCTCCTCCTGGGCCCCCTCGTTGACTGGGAGCAGCTCAATGAAGGGAGCCCCGGGGGGCAGAAGGTAGAGCCCACGGGGCTGCTCTGGCCACAGGTTCAGGCCCACCACCCCTGGGGGGAGCAAGCAGCCACCTCATCATCACCCCTCACCCTGGACCCTGGGCCCCACTCTTCTGAGCATCTGATCCCACTGCTGCCCTTCCACCCCATCCTTCCTGGCCTCCCCAGGCTCTTAGGCCCTAGATGGCAAGTGGCGGAGTGTCATGGTTCTAGAGTAGCAGACCTGGGGTTAAATCCTGGTGCTGTGTGAGTTTTGCAAGTCTCTTAACCTCTCTGAACCTGTTTCTCCATTTGTAAAATGGAGCTGCTAATTCCCACCACACAGGGTCTTGGAAAGGATTAAATGAGACAATTATGTTGGGTTCCTTACATGGCAGCTAGCTGTAACTATGTGACCTCTGCCCCTGTCCCCAGCTCACTCCCCTTGAGCCCTGCTGACCTCCAGAGGCAGCATAAGCAGGTGAGAAGAAGGCTAGCCCTTGGCACCATAAGGCCCCCAGGGCAGCCACAGCCTCGGTCTGACCTCCTGAGTCCAGAGTCACCACCACCTGCAGCTTTGGCCAGAGTCGAAGGGCCAGTCCTCGGGGTCCCTGCTCCAGGGCCTCCCGCAGCTCAGCTGCCCGTCTGGGGAGAGGCGCTCCTGGGTTCCCTGTAGCTACTGCCTCAGCCAGCTCTTCACCATCGGCCTCCAGGCCAGAGAAGACGTCCATCAGTTCAGCCGCAGTCCCGGCCTCCAGTCCCCTCAGCCCAGGGCACCTCAGTGCCTCTAGCAGCAGGGCCCCAGGGTCCCTGGCGCCAGGGGGACTAGCCTGGCCCAGGGCATGCCCAGGCCAGGGGAGGGGGCTGGGCCAGGGGGAGGTAGGGGTCACACGAGCAGTGCTTCCGGGAGATACCACCTCTGGGTAGGCCTTTTTGAGGGCTGCCAGGCCCAGCAAGGTGGCCTGGAAGAAGACAGAAAGAGGGTGTTGGTCCTGGGCCAGACCCAGGCCTCCCAGTTTGGGGGTTCTTTGCCTGCCCTAAGGGGAAGGTTTGGCTGCAGGTGGGGGTCTCCGGTGGGTCTGTGCTCTAGCCTTCCCAGTTTACCTGCAGAAAGGCCTCGCCATGGTACTGGTTTGAGGTAGGGGGCGTAAGCTGCTCCCCACTCTCTTCCTCCTGGGCCTGGCTGATCTTGGTCAGAGGGAGTTGATTCCGGAAGGTGCTTGTATCTGTGGCACCAAAGACATCAGAAACTCCTCATGAAGCCACAGAATTCCCCAGGAGAGTCAGGTAAGACTGATGAGACCCTTGGGGAAGAAACCCAGGATAGACCTTGGGGTGGGGGCCATAAGGCCCCACGATAGGAAAATTCATTTTGGACAAGAGGTTTAGTCCTGGGCCTGGGTATGGGCTCTGGATCAGGCCCCTCTGCATGTGTGTGTGTGTGCGCGTCCGTGTGTGTGTGCATGCACGCGTGCGGGCTCCTCATGTTCTGAATCTGTCTGTCCTGTGGGGTTGCTTCACTCTGGGCTTCCTCCCCAGACCCTGGAGACACACCTGTGCTCCCCCTGAGTGGGCAGTGGGGGCGCTGGGCTCCCTGCAGACACCACCTCAGGGCCTGCTGCTGGCTCTGGCCCATGTGTCGTGTGCTCTGCTCCAGTCTCCGCTGCTGCCAAGCGGCTGCCCAGCCCAGGGCCCCCCATGCCACACGGTGCTGGAGCCTGGCAAGCCAGCATAGGCTGGCATCCTGGGATCGTGGCTGCCTGAGCAAGGCCAATGGCAGCAGCAGGAGCAGCAGCAGCAGCAAGAGGGGGACCAGCATCTTCAAGCAGCTCCTGCAAGAGGAAGGGGCCTGAGTACTGGTATTGAGGGGATGAGGGGGTAGCCCATTTCTTCCCCACACTTCCACACCTACTAAGACCAAGGACAGATGAAGTTTGGGAAGAAGCCAAGCCTCGGCCAAGCAGGTGATGCGGAGGAGAGAACATCAAGACTGGAGAATGTCACACTGACCTGAGTTCAGATCCTGGCTCTGCCACTTGCTAGTCTGGCCTCAGGTAATTCAGCTAACTGCTTGGGGCTCCATTTCTTTATCTGTAAAATGGGCATAATCATACCTCCCTCAGAAGGTTGTGAGATAGTGTACGGAGAGGGCTTGGCACAGAGCCTGGCAGAGAGCCACTGCTCAACAAATGACATCTCTTGCCCACTCCCAGGTGGCTCTGCTTTCTCGCGGGATCTACCCAGTCCCAGCTCCATGTCCCTCCTGAGCCCTGCGTGCACCTGTCACAGCCCACTTCTGCCAACTGCCAGCACCCAGGGCCCCTCGGCGTCTCGGGTCTCAGGACACATCCGGCCAGAAAGCAGGAGAGTTGGCTTTAAAGGGCTGGGCCCAACAGGGAAATCCGGCGCCTGCGGGGGAGGGGCTGGGTGTGCTCTTAAAGGGACAGGCTGCCTAAGGGAGGATGTGCTGGCCCAGGCTGGCAGATGGAGGAAGTTAGGGTCAGAGGGGCGTGGTCCTCAAAGAAAGCAGCATATGGAAAAGGCTCCATTAAACAGCTTTAACTGGGAGTGAAGCACATCTTACTCTGGAGCAGGTTCAAGTTTCAGAACCTAGCTTGAACTTGATGACGGCAGGAAGATATTCGAATGCCATCATTACCTCTGAGCCCAGGGCTGAAACAGGTGTGCAGCTACTGAGTGGGGAAGCAAGAGAGTGTCAGAGGAAAAGATTGAGGATAAGGGAGGAGCGAGTGTCCCATTCAGCTTCCTGTTCCGTTTCCCTCCAGCTGCTAATCCAAGCCTTCCCCAGACCCATCTTGCCCCTTCTCTGTTGCACTCTTCGTCCCAGAATTTTTAGCACCCAGAGAAAACAGCAACCACCAGATGGAAAATTCCTCAACTTCCTAAAGCCCAATGATTTCCCATCCCCACCCCCAAATAAAGTCTCATAGGACCTTGTACTCAAATGTGGTTCACAGACCAGCACTCAGCTTCACCTGGGAGCTTATTAGAAATGCAGTCTCAGGCCCCGCCCCAGACCTGCTGACTCAGAATCTGTTTTAACATGAGCCCCAGGATTGGTAAACACAGTCAAGTTTGGGAAGCTCTGCTCTAGGATGAGGTTCTCCTGCTGTCCGTGGTTAGGCCCTCCGTCTACCTGTGCTCTTGACCCAAACCAAAACCTGTTGCTGTTGAGTTGATTCTGATTCATAGGACCCTACAGGACAGAGTAGAACTGCCCCATAGGGTTTCCAAGGCTGTGATCTTTAGGAAGCAGACTGCCATATCTTCTGTGGAGCTCCTGTTGGAACCACTGACCTTTTGATTAGCCGCCGAGCTCTTAACCACTGTGCCACCAGGGCTCCTTGCTCTTGACTCAGGCTCTCAAAAAACAAAACGACCTTAACTGCTCCTTCCCTTCTAGGTCTTGCAGTGTTTCTTTTTCTCTTCACAGCTGAGTCTCTTGGAACATGGTTGAAGCTCACTATCTGGCTGCCCACCTCACTTGCGCTTTTTTTTTTTTTTTTTTTAACTTCTGAGATCTTACATTTGTTTTTAAAAATACTGAATTTAATTTTTGGTGAAAATATACACATCAAAATATGCTCCCATTTAACAATTTCTACACATATTGTTCAGCGACATTAGTTACATTCTTCACGTTGTGTCAACATCCTTGTTATTTCTGCTCTGGTGTTTCACCCCCATTAATTTAGACCACTGCCCCCTAACCTTCTCATCTATGCTTTAAAGTTACTGCTGTCCCTTTGGTCTCACAAAGATAATTTTTTTTTAAAGTGCAATACTCAAGGATGATATTCTTTACTTTTTGAGTTGAACTGTTTTTTGTTTGTTTAAAGATGGCTTCAGGGATAGTTTCATTTCAAGAGTTGAAGGGTATTCCAGGGCAATAGTCTCGGGGGTTCGTCCAGCCTCAAGGGGTCCAGTATGTCTGGATTCTTTGGGAATTTGAAGTTCTGTTCCACATATTGCCCCTTTCTATCAGGATCCATCTGTTGTGTCCCCGACTGAAACATTTGGTAGTGGTAGCTGGGCACCATCCAGTTTTTCTGGTCTCATGTTAGGGGAAGCAGAGGTTCATGGAGGTTATTAGTCCTGCAGTCCAATTGCTTCTCTGATTCTTGGGTTTCCTTCTTCCTCTGTTGCTACAGGCCAATAGAGACCTATTGTTGCATTTTGGATGGCCACTTGCAAGCTTTTAAGACCCCAGGCAATACTCACCAAACTGGGAGGTAGAACAGAAACTTTAAAAACAGTATTATACCAATTAACTACTTTTTTAAAAAAATAGCTTTATTGAGATGTAATTCATACACCATTCAATTCACCCATTTAAAGTGTATAATTAAATGGTTTTTAATATATTCCCAGATACGTTCAACAGACACCAGAGCCGATTTTAGATTTTCATCATCTCAAAAGAAACCGTGTACCCTTTAACTGTCACCTCTCTATCTGCCCAGCCCTAAGCGACCACAAATCTACTTTCTGTCTCTGTAGCTCTTCTCGATATTTCATATAAATGGAATCATATATGGTCTTTTTGGTTGGCTTCTTTCACTTAGCATAATGTTTTCAAGGTTCTTCCATGATGTAGCATGTGTCAGTACTTCATTCCTTTTCATTGCCAAATAATATTTCATTGTATGAATATACCATATTTTGTTTATCCATTCATCAAAAGTTTGGACATTTGGGTTGTTTCTACTTTTTGGCCATTATATATAATGCTGCTATGAACATTGTGTACAAGTTTTTCTGTGGACATACGTTTTCATTTCTCTTGGGTAGATACCTAGGAGTGGAATTGCTGGGTCATACAGTACTCTATGTTTAATCGAGGAATTGCCCAACTGTTTTCCAAAGTGTCTGCACCATTTTACGTTCTCACCAGAAATGTATGAGGGTTTCAGTTTCTCCACATCCTCACCAACACTTGTCATTATCTGACTTTTTATTATAGCCATCCTAGAGGGTGTGAAGTAGTATTTCATTGTAATTTCAGTTTGCACTTCTCAGATGATTAATGATGTCGAGTATCTTTACATGTGCTTATTAGCCATTTGTATATCTTCTTCGGAGAAATGTCTATTCAGATTCTTGGCCCATTTTAAAATTGGGTATCTTTTTATTATTAAGTTGTAAGAGTTCTTTATATATTTTAGTTGTAAGTCCTTTATCAGACATATAATTTGCAAATATTTTCTCCTATTCTGTGCTTGCTGTTTGCATGACATAACTTTTTCCATCATTTTACTTCCAATCTATTTGTATCTGTGAATCTAAAGTGTGTTTCCTATAGACAACATATAATTGGATCTTTTTTTTAAAATCCAGTTTTATAATCTTTGCCTTTTGATTGTTTAATCCATTCACATACAGTGTTATTATTAATATAGCTGGGTTTATGTCTGCCATTTTACTTTTTGTTTTCTTAATGTCTCATATCTTTCATGTTCCCCTATTGCTACATTACTGCAGTCTTTTGCATTACGTGAATATATTCTAATGTAGCAGTTTAATTTCTTTAATGATTTACTTCAATATATATATATTTAGTTATTTCTTTAGTGGTTGATTTAGGGTTTATCATATTCATCTTATCAGAATCAACATCAGATTTATAGTAAGTGCTCGGTTGCTAACCAAAAGGTCAGTGGTTCGAACCCACCAGCTGCTCTGCAGGAGAAAGATGTGGCAGTCTGCTTCTGTAAAGATTACAGCCTTGGAAACCCTATGGAGCAGTTCTACTCTGTCCTACAGGGTCGCTATGAGTTGGAATGACTCGACGGCGATGGATTTGGTTTTTGGTTAATTCCAGTGAGATACAGAAATGCTGCTCCTATACAGATGTATTCTTCTTTCTTCCATTTTGTGGTATTATTATAAATATTACATTCATAAATGTTATAGACCCAAAAGTACAGTTATAATTACTTTATATAATTTTATATCTTTTAAAGACGCTGAGAGAAGGAGAGCAAGTACGTATTTGTAGTTTTTGTTATATTAGCTTTCTTATTTATCATTTCTAGTTCTTTTTATTTGTTCCTGTGGACTTGAGTTACTATCTGGAGTCATTTCCTTAGCTCAGTACAGCTTTGCTCCCATCCACCTCCTTTGTGCTGTTATTGACAAATATATTACATTTCTACATATTACAGGCCCAATAATACATTATATGCATATAGTTTTATACAACTGCTTTTTAAATCATTTAAGAGAAGAAATATGCATAGATGTTGTCTTTTATAATTATATAGTTACCTTTACCAGAGCTTTTTTTTTTTTTTTGTGCATGGATTTGAATTACTATCTGGGGTCATGGGGTCAGTTGCTTTTAGTTTGAAGAACTTTCTTTAGTATTTCTTATAAGGTGCGTCTGCTACCAGCAATTCTCTGTCAGTTCCAGCTGTTTGGTGACCCTCCTTTATGTTCTTTTGCATTCTACAGTGAACTTGAGATACCTTTACTGTAGTATTAGTTAACATACTGCCATAATTGGTTGTGTGATCTGCCTTTCCTTGACTGTAAGCCTCTTGAGGGCAGGAACTATTTTATGTCCTACACACAATGCTTGGCTCAGGTAGGCAGTCTAAATGTGCTGAATTTTAAGGATGGGCTTTCTAATAGGAAGAATGTCCGGAGGCTAGGAGAGAAAAAAAATACAATTCTGATTTTCAAAATACTACATGAATGGAACAACCAGAATGGAATTAATGAGAATGTTGACCCATTATGAAAAATGTAACCAATGTCACTGAATAGTTTGTGTAGAAATTGCTAAATAGGAACCTGATCTGCTGCGTAAACTCTCACCAAAAACACATTAAAATATTACTTAAAAAAAAATTATATGAGCAGGATGGTAAGATATGCCCTTACTGGCCATCAAGGCTGACAACACGCCCTCTGGGGCAGTCAACTCCCAACTAGTTCCCATTTGCAACGTTTGATTACTTCAAACGTCTTCCTATCAAAGCCACCCTCCCTTTCCACCTGATGGTAAAAAATAAAAAAGCAAGACTCAATATTGTCCCTTCAGAGGAAACCTTTATTGTAACATAAAATACACAATTTTGTGAGTGCTCCAAATTGTACACAATACTTTTTTGGTAGCTAGATACTAATCTGCCTCAACACTAAAATATGTATCTGAAATAATTTCACAAAGTTTTAAAAAGAAAAATTATCAAAAGTGTACTTTCTTTTTAAGTTATATTCACTTTTAGCCTCCCCCCACCCTCTACAAAGCCCTGCACATTCCACACATTGAGTTAAAACATTTTTATGACTTTTGTGTGTGTCTGGGAGCGGGCGAGAGGCTGAGGTGGTGAAGACTTGCCACTGCCTCTTCTTGTGGTTTGCAGGAACGGGGAGAAGAAAGAAAAGAGAATGCAGAGAGCGAGCGTACCTTTCGGCTACAATGTCTTCCATCTTTAGGCACAGCCCTCAGGAAAACTGAGGACAGCTCAGCAACCATACAAGCATGGACTCCCACTCTCTTCTATACCCTTCCCCCACAACCCCACTGCCAGCTGCAAACACTAGAGTGAGCTCAGAACCACCCAGGACGTCCAGGCTGCTGCACTCTCAGCCTCCCCTGGGGCTGAGTTCACCACAAATCTGAAAGTATGTCAATCCATGCCCCCCAACAGGGCTGCTAGAACACAGAGGGCTATCACTCAGAGGCAGGTGGTGATGAAGCCTCTCTGAGTGAAGGGGACAGTAAAGGCCCTTTCAGACAGGCACCTGGAGCAGTCAGGTGTTCCTGTTCATCTTTTCCCAACACCGCCATCCCCATGGTTGGGATTTGAACCAAGTCTTGAGGCGTAGGGAAGGGGCTGAGCAGCATCCTACATCAATGCTGGTATTCATGGATGGGTAAGCCTACTCTGCAGATGCGGAGAGATTCTCCTGCCTGGCATAGAAAAATATATCAGTGTATGAAACCAAGCCAAGGCAAACAGCAGCTTTGGAAAAGTCATCTTCCAATAAATAATCTACTACAGAGGAATATTTTCCTTTAACATCAAAACACTGATAAATTCAGAAGTTATTTTTGTAAAAAAAATATTTGCTTATTTACTCACATGTATAAAAATAAGGTTTTTAGGGTTATACTCTCCTGGGTGTGGTCATGCCCTTCTTTTGGAGGGGGCTGGGGGTTACCTTGTAGGCCTTACCTGTAAGCTACCTGCTTACCCCCTCTTCCCACCCACCTGCCATAGCCCTGCCATAACCCATTCCTTCCTACTAGTGTACGGGAAAAATTGTGGAACAAAATTATGCTGAGGCTTTGTTTGGTTTTGTTTTGGCAGTTTATCAAACTTCCCAGCAAGCGTGAAGATTGCATTTCCCCCAACAGCCAAGGCCTGACACCCAGCACCCTGCAACAGGTGGGCAACACCACCCTGAACAAGCTGGCCTAGGCTCAGACCACACTCCTGCCACCCACTCAAGACCTTATGTGCGAACAGCGACGGGAAATGAAGTGACCTGGCACGGCACAGGACCTGACACACAGAGAGAGCGTTTTCATGTCAAATTGGGGTGGGAAGGGGGAACAAAAAGGACCTGATTTAGAAAACAAAAACACCATTCGACGCTTACAAAACTCCATTACCAACAAGCCTAAAGAAAGCCCGGACTGTGCCTCCGTCAGCACAGGGGAAGGGTGGACAGGTGGAACGGCAGCTTCCTGGCTAACAAGGCTCTGCTGCTGGTGCCTGGCAGCAGGGCTGGTGTGCCACTTGGACCAAAATACAAAGGACAGCAACACCATAAACTATTATGCAACCCTCTTTTCTTTCCTCTATTTCATTAAACATGTCTGCACATTTGTGCAGGTATGGGGACTGAGTGGTAATTCCACCAACAGACAGAGAGGGAGGGACAGAGAGAAGGAGAGAGAGGAAGGAGGGAAGGAAGGACAAAAATGTGTTAAGTGTCATTCATTTAAAGAGCCACCACCCATCAGAAGACCTGTCACTTCTTCCCTTGCCTCAACAATCTTTGATTGTCACCCGTTTCCCCATCCCTACCCAGGAAAGTGGGGGTGAGGGCAGAGAGAGGGAAGGAGGACGGGCTTTCTCTGTCAAAAGGCAGTTATGTAAATTTCAGAGGAAAAGCACAATCACCTTACATATCAATTGCTCAGCAGACATAGTGACGAGTTCTCACCAGAGAGGAGGTGCTTTCCCCTCCCTGTGTCCTTCTCTTACTTGGCCAGCCAAATCTCAAAGTTCAGCCACCCTCAAGACACATGTCCAAGTTCCAGGGTTCATGGAACTGACTGCTTTTTTTGCACAAGGTAAAAACAAGCACAGCCTCTGTTTGTGGCCCCAATGCTGCGGCTAAACTCTGGACAGCAAGGGGGAGAAATGCTACCACATGCAGACTTACATACACATACACACACACACACACACACACACACACACTCTCTCTCTCTCTCACACTCCCTTCACGGGTGCCACCATGCACAGAAACACTAAAGTCACAACTAGTATTAACACTTCACATTATGAGTATTGTTTCCAAAGAGAAGCGATTCATGGAATTAAAACATCCACAAGAGTAGTTCCTCTGGCGAGAATGGAGAAGCCGAAGAAGGAGAGACGGGGTCATGACTGCGCGTGGGGGATCCACTGACTGTCCATTGGTCGGCCCAACAGCTCCTCCACACGCCGTGCAACGTCCATGGTGTCGTCCAGGTCAAAATCCCCATCTGTGTCAAGGACGGAGTCAGGGCTTGGGAGGGAAAGAGGAGAGACAGAAGGGTGGGGGAATGTTGTCAGAGTCCAGAGAGAAATGATAAGCTGCAGAGACCACCTCCAGCCCCACCCACCACCAGGTATGGGGCCTAAGTCAGCTGGACCCTCAGCCCGGGACTTCAGGGGACCAGAACTAGTTCTGATCTGAATACAGGGGAGTAGACAGTCCTTTGTAGCTAGTTGAACACAGCAACTCAGATTAAACTACCCACCTCGACCTGCCCCTAATGCTGGCTGCCTAGGCACGCCTAAAGCCCGTCTGGTCCTTACACAGAGCAAGCAAAATATCTCCATTTTGGGAGAGGGGAGCAGATGACATCTGCCCAACTATCACCTCACTCCAACTACCAGTATCTTCTGGCTGGTTCTCACCCGCCCTGCACCTGGGCACATGAAGCGCTCGGGCCTAGAGGAGCTCCGGATTCCTTTGCCCACCAGCCATCCAGGGTCCAGTCTGAGGCCAAGTCCCCAGTTCCTCCCCTGCAGTCCCCCACGAGAACACCACCTACTTCTGTGGGTACATGTTATAGGGAGCCTGGGCGCACACGGCTGGGGACGGGGCCTGGTCCATGTACGTGGCGCTGCCCCCAACAGAGTCCGCAGATGCATTCACAAACCTGTGGAAGGAAGCGGAGCAGCCTCAGTGGCTGGGGGAGTCCAGGTAGGAGCCGACGTGAGGAGGGGGCTCAGAGGGGCCTTTGTTATCTTTTTTGGGGTGTAGGACAAAGTGCCCCACTTGGCCCTGGGTACTGGTTATATCATGACCAAGCCCAGTTCCCTCCCCAAGGCAGAGCCAGGTGTCCTGGGAACAATGGGCACGTGGGTGGGAGGGGCAGCGGAACAGTGGGACAGCGGTCCGTGGGTGGGAGGGGCAGCGGAACAGTGGGACAGCGGTCCGTGCCGTGTCGGGTGAGGAAAGCCAGGGGAGGAGAAAGAGGCAGAGGAGACCAGACCTGGACACTGGACACTTACTCAGGGACCACTTGCTTGATCTGTGGCTTCACGTATCCATCAATGGCTTTAGCTGCCAAGGGGAGAACGGTGGTGAGAACCAAAGCTCTCAAGAGAAATAAAAATGCAATCTCCCTTAAGAATCACATCTCTTCTTAGGACAGGACACAAACACCCAATTTTATCTCAGGATATGATACAATCACTTCATTTTTCTGACAATCTGTTAGGAAGATCAGGTAGAGGAGAAACCTCAATACTAAAACTGCAAATTAAGATATCTCCCAAGTTGACTTGGATGTTTTAATAAATTCTTCAAATCACAGAAAAGATGTATTTCAATACAAATCTAAATCATGCATTCACTGCATACTAAATGTAACAGGAAAAAATATCTTTAAAGTTTAAAGTCAAAGACACAGCAGAGGGACAGGATTTTGCTCCATGTGTCCCAAAAGACAAAATTAGTACCAATAGGGGAAGTCATAAAAGGACATATTTTCAGTCAGTGTAAGGAAGAATGTGATAATTAAAACCAAAACCAAACCCATTGCTGTCGAGTCAATTCCAACTCATAGCGACCCTACAGGACAGAGTAGAACTGCCCCGCAGGGTTTCCAAGGCTGTTATCTTTATGGAAGCAGACTGCCAAATCTTTCTCCCTCGGAGTAGCTGGTGGGTTCGAACCACCAACCTTTCAGTTAGTAGCCAAGTGTTTAACCACTGTTCCACAAGGGCTCCTTTTGTCATAATTAGAACTGTCCAAAAAAACAGGGGGCTGGAGGTTTTCAAGCGGATGCTGGACAAACACTTCTCCAGGACTGTAGAGAAAAATCTAAGCTTCAGAGGGGAGCTGATTTGACTAGATGATTCCCAAGGCTATTTTAACCCCGAATGTCTACTCTTTGAGGAAAGGGAACATCACTATTCCAGGTACATGCCTACTGCTTTTATACCCTGGGTTTCTGCATTTGGGGGGTAATGTGACGGTCCCTTAGCCCAGTGAGTATTGTTTATGCCACAAGGCTGGTTAGAAAGAATGCTGGTGCTGGGTCTCGCTTTGATTCTCCACAGACTCCCACTGGGACATGGTAGGCTGGGGGGTACACCTGAGTGTGATTTGGTCAGTGACTTACTCTTTAAAAGGCTGGTTATAGAATGCCAGCTAAATAGGTAGTAAGAATGTGAGAGGCTGAAGGGGTGGGTGAATTCTTGTTTTCTGGGTATGTGAGTATGGGAATCAGTATAACCTTAACTAAGGAGCCCTGGTGGCACAACGGTTAAATGCTCAGACTACTAACCGAAAGGTTGGTGGTTCAAAGCCACCAGTGGCTGCATGGGAGAAAGACCTAGCAATCTGCTCCTGTAAAGATTCTGCCTACCCACTCACTGCCGTCAGTTGATTCTGACTGATAGGGACCCTACAGGACAGAGCAGAACTGCCCCATAGTGTTCCCAAGGCTGTAAATCTTTATGGAAGCAGACTTCCAATCTTTCTCCTGAGGAGCAGCTGGTAGGTTCAAACCGACAATCTTTTGGTTAGCAGCTAAGCACTTTAACCACTGTGCCATCAAGGCTCCTATAAAGATTACAGCCTAAAAACCCTCTAGGGCAGTTCTATGCTGTCACACACGGTTGCTATGAGTCGAAAATTGAATCGATGGCACCTAAAGACAACAACACAACCTTACCTATATTAGACAGTGAAGATCACAGTTTTTATGCAAATAACATGCACCTTCTACATTTGTTTGCCAACGGAGCCCTCCCCCTGCGTGGTATTTTCATAAGCGCGCTATGCTGATTTTTTGTTACCTGTTGATGTAAAAAAAAAATTGGCGTAGTGGCGCTTATGAAAACAGCCTTGTAGGGGGAGGGCAAGGTTGGCAAACAAACATAGAAGGAGTGCATTATTTGTGTAAAAATATGGTACGGGACCACAATACTGTATGCTCAACAGGAAGAAGAGCTTGTCAGAGAAAACAGCCCAAGACAGCGAAATGCTACCTGGCTCACAAATTGCTTGTTATCCTAACCTGCTTCTTCCAGTGTCAGGAGCTACCTTTTCATAACATTTTGTGTTTAGCAGAAAATAGAAAAACAAAGAAATGCCGTAAGAAATG